ATAACCACAGAGGTTTTTGCACTGTTAATATTTGGACAACGGTTATGCTAAAGTTTTGCAGCTTAACAGATTTTCCTGTCCAACTTGCCCTGTGTCTTATAATTTTTATAAAGAAAAATTATACAAGTTTCTCAGTTCTCTAGATAATTCCCTAGAGATTTTAAATTTGTTCTGCCAGATTCTTCTACTTGGTAAATAATATTAGTTTCTCTCAGAGGTAGTAATCATTTCTTAGGCGTAATAACTGTTAAAAAAGCAATTCACTGGCAGTGAAAACTATTAAAATTTTGTATAGTTTAAAAATTATCTTAAAAAAACCAGCTGTTTCGATATAAATTTGCCGTTAGACTTTAAATGTATTTTTTTTTTTTCGCTCTGTTTGCATGTTTTTAGACGTAAGCCGTAAACTTCGGACCATTTCAGTTTTTTCATTTATTTCCACACTTTTTAACCGCTGGTTTTGCATAATATTGTTCCATAGAAGAAAACTAATGTTTTTGTTTTTACAATAATTTTTCATCCTGGCTTCAGATGGGGGAGGAAAGTCTGAAAACTCAATTAGGCGAAGCCTGTGGAGAATATTTCTTTCAGTCTTCACGAAGGTTCAAATATTCATGCCTTTTTTTTCTGCAGTATTTAGATTTATAATAAAGTCTACTTTTTTACCAATCTGGCTTCACTGGAAAAACTGCCTCCACTATTAGAAAGTAGTAATTGTAAGAAACTTCCAAATATAACAGTTGGCAATATGATTCTTTCAATTCTGTTAAACACATGTTAATTTGCAGCCATCGATGTCAAACGAATTTGGCTTACTGACTTTAAAAATGAAATATTCCACTCTTTGCTCACTTTCCTTAGCTCCCAGATTCCTGTTCTCTAAATCCCTTTTGCTTTTTAAGCACGTTGCTGAACTAACATGATATTCCTAGCTGAAAAAATTTTTGCTGTCTTGAAAGCCACACCTCTACATGGTCCTCTCTAAATCGCCTCCTGTTTCTTCTCAAATCCAATATAACTGGAGGCAAAGGACTTTTTTTGGCAATTAATAACTGCGAATTTATCTGGCGACCATTTGCAGAACTCAATGCCTCAATTTGATCTTAACTTCAAATACTCTTTCCGCGAACTAAAAATATGCATCTACAGATGGAATGTGTTTGAAATCCGTAATTGACAGCATGCCGCTTGACCACTGATCGCATTTAAGCTGAATTTTTTTTAAACTCTGCCTTTGTTTGCCTGCATGATTGTTAAAAGGTGTTGTTTTCACTATCAGATCACCAACTAAGTCATTGATGGAACTTCACATATTCCAAGAAATGATGTTTTCGGAAGTGCTGATGGTGAAACAGTAAAAGAACTCATCCGTTTGATGAAATACCTGCTATTAGCCACGTAACACTATTGTAATTCTCCCCCTTAAGACTCTTAACTACAGGTAGCCATGAATCAACTATATTTCCAAAAGACTTATGCTACCTTGTGACTCGACTTATGTGGAATTCTGATACGAGTTCAGCTTGTCGGTCGTTGACTAAGCACATACACATCAACAGAACTGCTAGAAACAAAGTATTCAACAGGTTTTAAACAATGAATCCCTGATGCAGCGATTGTTAAGGTGTAAACATTTCATGACAACAGTAATTATTTCGTTATCATTATACATACTATTTTTTCACATATGAACCAAATAATGTTTCTTGCGAGTACACCACAGTATGAATTGCGAAATTGGACAGCATACGTGATTTTGGATCTACTTTCGTCGCCTCAAAAACAAATTTTCTCCTCGTACTCGAACCATTTTGCCGATACATTTTTCTACAAGTCTTATTCGTTAACGTTAGTCCTGAATTTTTTATACGGAGTGCAGAAAAAAAAAAAAATTTACGACTTCTTTACCGTAAGTTTCGATTATTTAGGTGATAATCTCTTTTCAGTCATTTGGATACATTAAAACTGATCTTTGCTTTCAACGAGATCTACGGGATAAGCTCATCGGAAAAATATCCAGTTATTCAGACTAAAAGCTCCACTAACCTGCATTCCATAAAGCAGTTTTCCACATCTTTTTTTTTTTTTGCTGCATTAAATGAACATTTATCTTCACTTCTCTAGTCTTGAACAGAACATTAAACCAACTGCATCTTGTTACATTGAAGTGAACAGCCTATTAGACTCATCTACCACAGAATATTATGGCCAGCCACCTGTTCTACTAGGAATTCTCGCTAAAAGCATATAAAGTTAGCATGAATCACAAGAAAAAAACATTCATAGATGCACCGTTAAATATAAGCCTAGCGTCAGCCCTGTAATAAAATAAAAATTTCAGCCAAAATTCAAGTTTGGACTACAGTTATACTTAGGTTATAAAATACGAGGAGGAGTATAAAAGAAGAGGAAATAAAAAGCTATTCTTGGCAGTCCGTAAATAACTGTGTGCTAAGCAGAATTGTCAATGCGCAGCCCGTTAACAGCTACCTCAGACTCTCCAGAGAAATAGGCCGTTTATTAGTCTAGCTACAAAATCTCCTTTCTTCGACTAAATATATATTTAAAGATTCATTTGTGAATCTGCCTGGAATTTCCGATACGTGAAGTAATTTTTTCAATGCATTGAAAGCAGCGGAAATTTATTATCATCACAAATGCCCAATTTGTTGCCCAGATAAAAGTTTACCAATTCTTTATGAATAAAGTGTTTAAAAATATTACGTTTCAGTTTTTAGGATAGGGTGGTGTGCACTTGTCCAAATATTTTAAGAATTTTCTCATTTATTTCATTAGTTACCTGTTATCTGTAAATGACTTTATAAAACGCCCCACCTGATAACTGTGGTAACAAAAGAGTTGTTTTTTATATAATATAAAAAAACTACTTCAAAAAAAGAATAAAAATAAAAATTACAAAATCTAAGCTCATTTAGAAGAGATTATTTTTTTAGATATTTCACAATTACAGATGAAAGTGCACCACCAATTACCGAGGCACTAACGGTAAGATCAGAAAAGATGAATTCATCAAAGGGTTCTGAGACTTTCAAAATACAGTTTAACGGCGGCAAGTCAAAACCACAACTTTCAGTAACTTGTTGTTTCACCTTAACAAGTGATTTCTTCTTCAATTAAAAAAGCTGAAGCAAAAAAAAAGTTTTTCTCTCGGGTGCTTTTTCGCTCTCTGATGTCTCCAGAAAGTTTTTTGCTGTTACATGTGACAAAATCTAATTTTTTTGGTTCTGAAACGAAAATAAAGATTTCAAGTTTTGAATACAAAGCTGAAGCTAAACATGCATACAGTACTGTTGTCAGACGGTGATGTTGCAGAATCTGTTTGCTTGTTTTTTGTGGGATAAGTTTTTGATTTTTATCTGGTGCTATTTATTTCTTGAATTCTTTTTTGGATTTTTAAATCTCTAGTACTTCATTGACGGTATCAGCCGAGGTACTTAGTGTCGAACATCGAAGTAAACGTAGCTGAAGACATTGAATGTTGAGCATGAAAGTCATCTTCTCAGTTAAGGCATTTTTCCGTGAGTTTAAAACTGTAGTGGGTTTTACAAAATTTTCTACTCCAAACTTTTTGCTTAGTTGGATAAATTGCTAGGAAGAAAGTACGGTGTTTTCATTTTCTTCCAGTTTGTCTTAACAGATATTTTAACAGGATGGTTAAACTGACGAGGTCAGTAAAAGAAATGGAATTGAACAGGATAATTTTCTTGCTCTAAAATTAGTCATAAACTAGAGGATATTTGAATGTAGAGAATCGGAACTCAAAAATGATGTTTGTTAAATATTTTTGAGTAATTTTAAAAGTTTTAGTGTCATGGTCGTTGTTGTGTAGAAACTGATTTTGCAAAGTTATCGGAATATTGTTATGTTTCAGGCTGTGATCGACTCTATGAGTCTTTTAGTGAACTTTCGGAAAAGTTGGTGAATGAAATTTCTTTAACTGTCAGTATTTTTCCTAGATTGTGACTACTCCATTATCGCTACAGTGTTGCCGTACCAGGCGAGTGACATGATCTTCTAGTGCTTTGAAGCTGTAGTGTCACTTATCATGGCCAATCGGACCGTGAAAGATGCAGCCACGGTAAAGGGTACAAATCCCCAGTACCTCGTGGAAAAGATTATACGGACACGTATATATGACTCGAAATATTGGAAAGAAGAATGTTTTGCGTTAACCGGTCTGTGCCCATAACTTTTTTTTTATAAGAATGTATTGTAATTTTGATTAGTTGTTCCTTTTGGTTTTTTGATATCACAGTTACTGCCAAGGTATTAATTTAGCTGAACTTTTGGTCGACAAGGGTATGGAGTTGAGATATGTCGGTGGGATATACGCTGGGAATGTGAAGCCGACTCCATTTCTTTGTCTTTGTTTAAAGATGCTACAAATTCAACCAGAAAAAGATATTATTGTTGAGTTTCTCCGACAGGAAGAATACAAGTTTGTCAATTTCTTGTTGATTTTATTGTTTTTCGATATAAGTTTTCTTCTGATTGATATGGTTTTTAAGATAGATGACACACAAACTTTTTCTTGCCGTTTTTAAATGGAAAGTTTAGTAGTAATTTCATCAGCATTTTCTAAGTTGAAAAGTTGCGATTGTTTTATTTCTCATATTCTGTATTGTTTATTCCAGATATATACGTGCACTAGCTGCAATGTATTTGAGGCTCACGTTCTCGTCGATAGAGGTGTACAAATATCTAGAGCCACTTTATAATGACTATCGGAAACTTCGTTATATGGACAAAAATGGCCGTAGGTTATTGGTGTTTTCATTTTGTTTTGAAGAATAAAAGTGTTTTGTTTCTCATTTCAAGAACAGTACGGGTTTTTACATATTTCTGTTTTAGATTTCCAGCTCATACATATGGATGAATTTATCGACCATCTTTTGAGGGATGAGAGGTATTGTGACATTCAGCTGCCCAGGTTACAGGTTTGTTTGATCTTCTCGTACTTTTGCTTATATATTTTTAGTTAATTTGCAATCAGTCAATTTGCAGAGAAGAGAAGCTCTAGAATCGATTGGCGAATTGCAGCCGTATGTCAGCGCTCTTGATGAAGACTTAGCAAAACTTTCCTCTTCAGAATCGGAGTCAGATTCGGAAGAGGAGAGGATACGTAGGAAGAAAGAGCGTTCTAAGGTTCTTTAAACATCTGAACTTTTCTTTTTGATAAAATCTCTTGAAATGCTTATTTATCAAGCTGAACTTTGAAAGCTATCTGTTTTTATTACTGGCCATTGTCTTATGTGAAAACATAATAGTTTTAAGCCTACCTCGCGTCGTCGGTCACGCTCGAGGGATCGTGAACGTGAAAGGGATAAAGATAGGGATAGGGATCGAGACCGCGGGAAGGATAAAGACAGGCGTCGGAGGTCTCCAGACCATCGGGATAGAGGTAGAAGTGATTTGTGAAATTATTTAAAGGTTTTATAAAGATTACTTTTTATAAGCTTGATTTTTTCTTCTTTGGAATCATATTTAGCCATATGCTTTTTAGACCGAGATGATAGAAAAGAGAGGGACCGTGATAAGGATAAAGATAGAGATCGAAAGGATAAAAAGGATGAAGGTAGAAGACGAAAAGACGATGAAGATCGAGAAATTGAAGCGGCCAACGCGTTACGTAAAAAATTGGGCTTAGATCCACTACAGAAATGATCTCTAATTTATCTATTTACACAATTTGCACCTGACACATCAAATCTTTTGTAAAATCCTTGATAACAGTAGATTAAGGTCATTGAAATATGTTATGTACAAAATTTTTGAGTTATTCCATGATTTATTTTGAAATAAAATATCTGAAGCAACAGATTTCGCAGGAGTTTCGTTGTATTCTATAGAACTTTGTGTGTCACCTACATCCTTTTGCTCGTATGTAATTTGATACCTAAGTGATCATTGCGGTTTCAACAATGAATTGAATTGCGTTTTTTTGTGAATTGCTGAGGACAAGTATTCGGTATATTTATTATGTTGTTTTAAAGTAGTGGTGGGGTTCTCAGAGAGGAGGGGGTACATTTTTCTTCCGCTTATTTTTTTTTCATAGAAGACAGGAAGTTATAGAAAGTTTCAACGTGTGGTGTGCCAAAACGTCTGTTAATACGTAGCAGCAACAGCAACTGTTGATGATCAGTTTGTCTGTGTGTGTGTTCTAATGTTTGCTTGCTTGCTTCAAATGACGGAGGTAAGTACGTTGTTGCATCGATTTTTTCTAGTGAAGGGGGTTTTGTTTAGTAGTTCTTAAGATTGCGAATGAGTTGTGGCATTTTTGTTTCATCAAAAAAAATTTTTTTTGAATATATTTTAATACAAATTTGGAGATCAGGAAGGTTGAGCGATTGGGATAATGATCTGAAATCAGATAATATGTATTAGAATTTAGTTGTTAAGGGGAAGTATTGTGATGACGGTGGTGAAAAGGAGATGGCGGGTGAAAAGTAGTGAATGTAGGGAACTTTCCTTTGGGTAGTTTTAGTTACTCACACTAGAATCATAAATGAATAGAATTATATTTGACCAGACGTGCTAAATATGCGCACTTTGTGCATGAATGTCTGTTTGTTTGCGCTGCTTTCCCTATAGCGCCGTTGTTTGCCTATCAAGAAAAAAAAAAAAAAAAA